TAATGATAATAAATTTTCGATAAGAATGTTTTCGCTATCATATCTACTAGATCATAACGAAGGAGATAAATTAGCTTTAGTCTCTTGGTGTATTTTATCAACAATCAAAATATACCATAGGATGCACCTTGAAAAGCTCTATATTTTATATAGGACCAATTATTTTCAAGTCACACTTTTTGTTTTCAAAATACACAGAGTTTTGAGAAACCAAACTTTGAGCATGGCAGAAACTGATCACATAGAGTTTAACTTTTGATGAAGACAACTACAATAAGCTTTACTGTGAAGCTTGTAGAGTCTTTCACGCTGCATCTTGTGATATATTTTATTTTTCTTTTGATACAGTATTTCAGGTAAGAAGGCGATGAAATAAAAAGTTAATATGTCATGTATCAAAAATATTATCTATGTCCTATGATTGAAATCTGCTTGCCAAAAATCTTATCTATTCTGAAGACAAAAGCTACAAGTAGAAAATAGGTTGTCTTATGTAAAACGTAGAGCTTTTCACGCTGCATCTTATGATATATTTTGATCCTTGATAGAATGTATTAAGGAAATGAAAACTGTTTCAAACCGACATGCAGTGGATATGGTAGCGAAAAAATTCTTATCGAAAACTTATTATCATTAGATTAGTTGAAGTATGATCGAATAGCATAGAAAAATGGAGCATTGTTTTCTTTATCAGATTATATAGAAAGAAATATTTTTAAAGCTTCTTGTGAGAAACTAAAGTATCACTCTCATCACTTTCTGACTTCCCTATGTAAATAGATTCTGTGTCAAAGTAAATAACAAAATGTAATAATATTTAGGAACCAACAACAGGAATGGATATACGTGCTAAACGTTTTCTATGGAATTGTATATTAAAATTAACACGTCGAGATAAAAAGTCAGTTGTGATAACATCACATTCAATGGAAGAATGTGAAACGTTATGCAATCGTAAGAAATATTTTACAAAACATAGCGTTTTTGTTTTATTGATATAAAATTTGCTGTCTAGGACTTGTTATTATGGTTAATGGAGAATTTAAGTGTCTTGGGAGTGTACAACATTTAAAAGAAAAGTAAATGAAATTTTTCATTTTTTTTTCTCTTATAAATTTCTATATTTAGATTTGGTGATGGCTATACAATATTTATTCGAACAAATATTGATACAAATAGAAAAACTGTTATGAATTATATTCAACAACATATACCAGAAGCTATTATTAAAGAAGAACATAATAAAATGATACATTTTCGTGTATCAACAAATGTTTCATTACATAAAATGTTTAGTGTATTAGAACAAGCACGAAATGAATTACAAAATCTTATCGAAGATTATACTGTTACACAAGTAACACTTGATGATGTATTTGTTAATTTTGCTAAAATACAAGAAGATAATCAAATATTAAAAAAAAGAAATGAACAACAAAATTCTTATGAATTAATTCATAGAAAAAGTAATGTTATTGGTAAGTTTAATAAATGTAATAAGACATGACCAAGATGCTCTCGGGAACAAAAACGTTTGTTCTTACTCATCGCTAACTGTCACAATTTTCATAGTGAAATTAATTCTCTTTTCCGTAAACAACAGAGTTGTTGAAAATATAAACGTGCAGAATAGAGATAGTATTAATGAATCAAAATAGAAAATAATGAACCACGAAGTGGGAGGATATTAAAGATCATGTGAATCGTGGGAGATATCCCAAGCTTATTGACACTACTAGAAAACCATATCGAAATTTTCATTAGTATGTGTATTACTAAGTGCAAAATCAGAATTAAACAAGTTTCTTGATCGGAACTAAAAACGATTGGTCACATTTATCACTAAATATGAAACATTATTGATTATTAATAATTTTCTTTTAGATCCAATATGAATTTAACTATGACATCGTGACTTGATGCAAACAATTTCTTTGTTCATAAATACAATAATCGAATTTATTTTTTTTTTTTGTAACATTAAATGTTTCAAATCTCTGATTTAAATTGTTTCGTTATTTATTGTTTTTCTCATTTGCTTTCGTTTGTAATTGGAAAGTACAAAAAAAAAAAGAAACAGTCGTTCTTTCAATGTAATTTTTCTTTTTTTAGTCACGGTGTATTTGCTATATATCCATGTACTTATTGAAATATATAATAATAAACAAAACACAGTATCCATAAGATATTTTTCTCTCACATTCCTATTCATCAGGGAATTTGTAAATAGAAAAAAAAGAAATCACTTTAGTTTTTATAAATAGCAAAATTGTTAGTGAATTAGCAGTCAATTGTTATTTCTTCAAATGATCATCATAGCTCCGTTGAGACTTCACACAAAATTAAATAAATATTTTCAATTTTTTATTATTTTATTTTTGATAACATGTATGATAATGAGCAAACATATTTGAATTATTTGTTTAATCAATTAACAAATATTATGTTTGTTGACTTTCGATTTGTTTTTTCGTTAAATCTCGTATTGATCGTTTTCGACCACTGAGTAATGGACTCATACAACAAAATCGACCTAATGAAAATATTTAGAAAAAAATAATCAGTTAATTGATAAAAATAAATCTTACGTTCAATTCTTGGTTTTACAAATAATTGTAAATCATTATCATCGAATAATGATTTTTCTTCAAGACATAAGAAAAAAAAAGATCAATCGAAAGAAGGAATAGTGGTTTTTCTTCTCGTACCTGGATATGCAGAGTTTTCATATGCCAATCGTCGCATAACTGCTTGTGTTGCGTCGTTCGGTTCATACTATATATGTTAAAGAAACAAAGAAAACATTAATTTTTTTTTGTAGCGCTCATTTAATCATCTCAACCTTATTTTTAGTATTTATTGATAACTTTTGTCTTTCTATAAAATTTATACTATTCGACAAGTTCGCGAAAGTAAACGAAATTTTATAGTGATTTACATCATCAATAATTGAATATTATTAGTTATTAGTCAGAAAAATTGGTACGACTTTTGTGAATTCTTTTATTTACGTTTATCATAGATTATCGTATACATTCTTTTACGTACTCTCAGATCTCGCACAAAAACAAAATGCATGACACGTCTCATATCTTTTTTTATTGCCTTTTACAAAATCCCTTAAGACGAAAACGATTATACCCAAGCTGAATTGTAATGAGAGTGAATGAGGAATTATAACATAGTTTCGAGAGAAATGACATACCTCATCTATATTATGATACATAAGACGAAACGAATTAACGATAAGAAATTGATTGATTAGAAGAATAAATAAAAATACATAAATGGTTGTCATAGATGAATCGTAGGTTCGTTTTCCAATACCAAACATGATGATAATATATTTGTTCTTTGCTATATTATATAATATGAACGTTCGATGTATGTGTATATAGGAAAAAAAAGTCTTCAAATAGTCTTATATTTATGAATATACTAGGATAGAATAAAGATGATCGAAATAATCATAAAGATAATCTATTCTGTAAGTCGAGAAAAAAAATGAGAGAACATGAAAAGAGATAAGTCTTTCATTGATTAAAACATTGAGAGGCACGGTGAAGAAAACAGAAAAGAATAAAATAAGAGATAGAGAAAAAGTATGAGAAAGGGTAAAAAAAAATGAACAGAATGATGTCAATTTCCCTTTTCTCTGAAGTCAAAAAACTTTATCTAAAAAGCTAAAATAATTTAATATTTCCAACACGACTAACGTAGATGACACAAAAAGTAGAGCACAATTGGAAAAATTACAATTGGTGTCATATATCAAAATAAAACTCATTATACTGAGTACATCGTTACCGGAAAAGAATGAAGTATCTTATTTGTATGAAAATCAAATATAAAAAATGTTGATTATTCTAGAGAAAAGATATCTATATAGAGTTCATTTAAAAATACACGAATGTCAATCGCATACTTTAATGAAATAGTTACACATATTTACACATACTAAATGAATCCTCACATGAATCTACAATATTAATATTATTAATATTTAATATTTTTTTCTTTCGATTTTCATGTTATGTATCATTGTTTTTTCTTTGTTCAAACAATGGTTAATCGTAAATGCAATGAGTAGGACGAATTTAGATATATGCAGACAGAATGAATAATTATAGTTATAATTTTGTACGAAAGTGAAGATTATCAAACTAATTTGACAAGTAAAATCTGTCAACTTGTTCACATGATAAATAAATCATTTTTAATTGAATCACTAAAGAAGTATATTTAATTAAATACATTTTCAAAAGTTACTCTTTGTCCATCATATTTCGATCAAAATAAGAAATTAAAATGAAGACAGAATGTCATCTCCATCAATTTTTATAGAATATTAGTACTATATTTCATCAAGACGGGATAATTGTAATCATGCAACAGAATAAAAGCATTATTTGAATTTTTTCTTTTTCTCAACTGGAACGAGCGTATTTCTTTATTTCGGAAGTACATGAAAATACTTGGACATACTTAGAAATATTCAAGTTTCCAGTATAAATGAGTTGTAAGAGTGCTCCTTACCCTAGTTATGTTTTTTCAATATATCGGTGCAAGAAAAAGTGTGTCTGAAGTAATAACAAAACCTGCCTTCAGTCACTTTTTTAAAGATTCAAAAACTTTTTATTCAACTTGATAAAGACATCTTCCCTCACTTTATGTTACTGGTTATCATAGATAATTATATAAGGATACAAACCTTGCATAAAATCGCAATAATACAATAGATCTACGAAACCAGTATAACAAAAGAAATGGTTGACTAAGTACATGTGCGCAATAATAGCGCGCACGATATATATAGTATACTAGTAAAAAGGTTAAGCACTAGTAAACTGATTTGGAAGAAATAACAACATCAATACGTCAACATTTAATTAAAGTTAGGTCCTTCACTTTAAAATTGATCGTTGAGATTAAAGACGTCACATACTTCAGCCTTTAAACAAAACAATATCATACATTCTAAATTCAAATCTTTAACCTAAGAAATAAAAAAAAATGAAGATTTATTGACACAGATGTAAAATTTTTTTGTGTCTATCTGGTGGTTGAACAGTTTGGAAATGTTATTTTCCATAATTCCGGTCTTAGTACTCGCTTCAATAAGTTTAAAAAATTTGGTTTCCTATTCAATTTTCGATTCCAATTTTTTGAAGGGTATGGATTTCGATGTGCCTAGGTGTTCTTCTTACCCACACGCATCCTCTTCCAAGAACTTAAGAAACTGAAAAGTTTCTTGGAAAATATAATAGTAGGCTCGATATTTCTTGTGAAAGTTTGATAAAATCTGCCGTTTCTTCTAAAATCGCATATATTCTACAAGAGAAAATTTTGGTGCGTCTTCCTATGATATAATCTTAATTTCATTTTTTTTCAAAAAATCTGATTTTCAAAGAGGAGATGACTCTAAAACGAGTGATGGAAACAAATTGATAACAAGAACAATGCCAAAAAACCCATATTATTATACAGTCTTTTCTTTTGTAATGTGCAAAAGATTTATTGTATTAATACATTTTTTTGCCACCGTATTGAATAATATACACTACCTTTTCTAGTACTTCGTTGAAAAGATAATTAGAGTGTGGGTGTCAGAGTACTTGGAAAGAGAACAACTCAGACACCCAGGCATCAAACTCCACACCTTCTGCCGATCAGTCAGATTATGAACGAGTATTTTGTGCAACGTTATTCTGTTACTTGTGATTGAGATTTTTCACATACGCAAACAGTGTTCGTTTGCAATGGATGCATGTGCTTTTTACTACTCACATCATCAGATCAAAAACTCAAACAGTAATGTGATTTGATATTTTTTCATGTGCTTGTTCTGTTGACACACCTTCCTCTTACGACTCTCTTGAGAATTCTGAGATTAGTCAGCACTATGTATGGGAGTAAAATTAGAAAAAAAACAAGTATTCTGGCGTTTACCAGAATGATTTTTTCATCTAATGATACTTTGTAAATTACAAGACCAATATAGCTTCGTTATTGCAGTCCGTATAGCACCAAAACAATGCCGGTCACATCTTTCACGAATGACAATGAATTTATATTAGCCGCTGGCTTGTCGACAATATTGGGCATAGAAATTTCGCGTGATTCAGAAATCGAACACGTTAAAATGTGTACTTTTTACAATTTTATTTTCGTTAGACTTTCGACGTGTTTTTACGGGTTTTTTTCATTATTTGTCTGACTGGGTGAACGATAAAAAAATACAAGGGAATTCACAGAAAAAATAGAAAAAATAATTACTTGGCAGTGAGACGATGACAATGCAAAGAAAACATCATTTTATTTTGCTACGGATTGAGCCGCTGTTTTTTTTCTGTGCACCATCCAACAAATGACAGAAATGGACGCAAGCAAACTCTACTTTGCTTATCGTAATAGAGATACCAAGACTGTTGAATAACTTCTCTCTATGTTGTCGTTGAATTAGGGCGATCGCGCCGAGCCAAATGGCAATACAGCGTTACATGCAGCTTCGTGCTACGGTCATGCTAGGAGAGTGTGCGTGTGAGTACTACATTCATCTCTCTCCCACACCGAAACACTCATACTCGCACCCTCTCATTTCTATATCGGTCTATTTATTAGAACTAAGAATTGTTATATTTTTTTTTCAGAAATGTCTGTTTTTTGTTGACCATACTTTTCTTAAGACAATTTATCACTCATACTAACGAAACGTTAGTACTCTTCCTTCTTTTAGATTATTGACTTACGCGGTGAGATTTGCTTTAGCTATGACCACTGTACCCAGTGAAAAATTTTGGCGATTTTCAATCGGATTTTTCTGCAACAAAATCAAAATTAAAATCGATTGATAATTTTGATTATTTTTGATCCTCACTTAACTATTTTTTGATGTTGTTTCTTATTCTGTATGAAAGTTTCTGATTAAAATCGAATTATTTTGCAGTCAATCGAAATTATTAATCGATTGATAATCATGATTTTGCGTCGAGTAATCCGATTTCAATCAGAAAATTTCATGCAGGAGAAGAAACAACATCAAAAAATAGTTAAGTCAGGATCAAAAATAATCAAAATTATCAATCGATTTTAATTTTGATTTTGTTGCAGAAAAATCCGATTGAAAATCGCCAAAATTTTTCACTGGGTAGAAAATACAATTGGTTTAATTGCTAAGTTCTCCTGTTATGCAGATAAATTACGCCAAGATTTAATTCCAAAACAAACAACAAAATGCAGAAATGACAAGAATGATGATGCAGATAAGATGGGTAAGTCTCACCAGCTAGCACCCAGCCTTGTATATCTATTATATTTTCATGCAAAGATACTAAAGTAAACACTATTTTGTTTAGTTAAGGAACTTGATAAAGTGATTAGCCGTCATTCCTTTCCGATAATTCTATGCTGTCTGAGTAAATAGCTAATGTTTCTAAAAATTCTTTCTTCGATGTAATTATTTGCATACTTGTGACTAACAGCGTGTTACTCAGCTGACAGCCTTACATATACATATAGATTGATATGGTCTCCTCGCACATATCAACAACAAGCCCCTATCAAATTCATCCTCATACAACTAATCTGCTAAGGAGCATGAGGGAGTATGGGTGGATGAGAACTATCTCTTTGTCACAACTCTGACCATCACACTCTTACCTCTCACCCACAATTTCTAGAGTAGATTCGAACTTTTTAGTTAAAAAATTTTTCTTCAGCCACGTACGATAGTTCTATCTAGGATCTTCTCTAACGAGTAGGTTTTCGAGAAACTGATGTGTCAACGGTGGAAAAGTTTTTCAAATTTCGTGGAAATTTCTATTCTTAGATGCCGAATATCATTTAGATCGCCCAAGGACAGTTTCTGCGTGGTGCGCATCCTGTTTTCAGTACTCTATTGTATCACAAAGTGAAAGATTAACAAGATTTCCTGACCTATATGTTTTTCCGAGAAATCAAGATCACCATGTGATTCACAATTGAATTCTGCGTCAAAATTTGGTAACAGTTTATCCTCCATATCATGCAATGCCGCATCAGATTATTTTGACAAATTTTTTTATCTTTATGACTCATAGACAGCTACGCACCAAAATAATAGTTGCATGAGAATCTGCGTCGAGTCCTAACCAGCACAGGATATCTGTGGAGTGTGTGAACGATTTTCCTTTTGTCAGCTATCGAAAAATCTACTTCTGCGCCATAATTCTTAACAATTTTCTGGCGTTTTAATCATTTATAGTAGCTTATTCTGCTCGAGATCAATGCGAATTCTCATGTAACTATTATTTTAGTTCTGAGACCTATAAAACTGTGAAAATACCAGCACATAAGGGCTGTTTGGGTGTGAGTGGGGGCGTGGGTTTGGGTGGCAGATGATACATATGCACACCCACACTCCATTTAAAGTCGAAACTAGAAATTTGCTTTTTTACGTGAGGTGAAAGAGACCACGGCTTTTTTGTTGAAAAATCCAGTAAAATATCAATATTTTGAGAACAAAGGCACGGAAAACCAAACCTTTGCATACTTTTTTCTATTACTCACGAGTATTCATCAAATGAACATTGTTTCGATGGAAAAGCGATTTAACACTTTGGAAGATTTCCTCGTCAGTTAAAAATATCTGAATAAGTATCGTTTTTTCTTTATGTCACTAGTACTTTCGAGTACATCACTATTGAAACGTGACATTGCTGGATGGCTCAATTATGTAATCTGTAGATATATTTTCAATACAATGCAGAATGGCTAACTGAATACTTCTCACTACAGTAATATCAATAAACAGAAATCCAGAAGTCAATACTTTAGTTAGTGTAGATAACTTTCATGTAAAAGAAATAAAGTCAATAGGCATGTTCAACTCATTCTGATTATTCTTTTGAGTTGTTATTTGTAGTATTAGCGGTAAAATTTTATCATCATGACCACTACGATCGAATGTAACATCCTTCGGTGTAGAAACAAGAAAAGTTCTTTTTCTCATCGATGCTTAAAATGGATTTTATAATGAACATATGGCAGTATATAATCCATGTAGACCAGGTGCACATTAATCTATTACTGAATTGAAATACTGAATATACAACAGTTATAAGCTCTAAAGAGGCACTACAGGTGATGACAGAGATATAACAGATATTGCTAGAAGTGGTCATGAATAAATTACTAAACTATAAAAACAATTCGATTACTAATAAAGAAGAAGTTGATACTAAGCATTTCAAGTATCGTTTCGTATTGGTAAGACAATTTTCATGACAAATTCAGTTTTTAAAAACACAAAATACAAAAGCAAATAAACTATTCAAATGTGCATGTCAATATAGCCATCGCTGAGTCGTTAGTTACTCAGTTTCCTCGTGTCACGATTATCTGTATAAAGATGCCTAATAAATAACTGTTAGAGTATTGTATCAGTAGCCAAAATTAAGCACCATTTGCATCACTGTATTCGTCATCATTTCGACGACACTTGGCTTACGAAGGAACTATCTCAATTGTAATTCACCACTTGGGCTTACATTGAACCCATAAAGAAGTCTAAATAAAACTAGACAACTCTTAGAACGATTATGTGGATGTGAATGTGTGTTGTTTTCATCAGTCATACTCATACATATGCAACCACATCTACATCCTTTTCGGAAATGATCAAGTTGCCACAATATCTTAAACAAAAAATAAATTAAAAAAGAACTGCTAATTTTCGCTCGAAAATCAATCCATGGTATAGATTTAGTTCAACTCGTTCGAGTTTCCGTTGCGAAACGCAACCATAAGTTATAGTAACATCAATCATGTAATGCTAATACGTATACAATTTATGGTTTACAATCGTAGTTGTATCGTCAATCATGCAAATGTTTTTTTCTAATTATTCATTAGAATGTGTACCTCATATACATCATCTTTATAGCAATATATATTTAGTTACAAATGAAGTTTTCTTATGCGAGTTTATTTTATCAACTTTGTTAAACTAAAACTACAAGAAAAAAAGGTCTCGATCTTTATTTAAGATCATCTATTTAATGATATTCTTCTCTTTCGTAGAAACAGGACAATTTTCATATAATTCTTTTTCGATCATTGTCATGATCTTATCAGAGTTCATGAGCCATGGTACCAAACGTTCTCGTATTGAGTGAATAATCGGATTTTCTGAATGAAAAAATAAACCCATATAACGTGCCATATTTACAACACGTTTTGTTCGATTAAAACGGTTTTTGTAGTATTCTTGAAATGCTGGTTCCATTTGAAAATTATATTTTTTTAAACACATTGCAAGTGATATAGCATCTTCAATTGCCATATTTGCTCCTTGTCCAACATAAGGTAATGTTGCATGACATGAATCTCCTAATAAACAAATTCTATTACGATGCCAACCATCACTAAGATGTTGACGATAATATAAGCCAAAATGAAGTATACGTTTTTTATCTGTTGCGGCTGCACATTGATGAACAGGATGTGATTGAGGAAATCTTGTTAACACTTGATTTAATTCACGTTGACTATTCATTTTTGTCCATTCAGCATCATCACTTACTGATGGAGGTGTAACTGATGGATATGTAGTAGCCCACATTAATTGTCCAGTATTACCAGCTCGATAACTAAGAAATTCTCCATGATTAAAATATTGTGTTAATGTATTTTTTGCTGTTATTATTGGATTAAGAGATGTTTGTTGATCAATATTATCAATCATACCATAGAAAATATTTTCTTTTGAATGTATTGCTGAAGCTGTTTGAGTAAAGATTTGTTTAACAACTGTTGAACGTATACCATCTGCACCAACAACCATATCAACTCGAACTGGTTTTTGTTGTTTTTCATTGTCAAATGAAATGGTAACACCATCGTTGTCTTGTTTAATATCAATCATATTATGAGAATAATATAATATACCATTCTTTTCTAGAGGCTCTTTTAATACATCAACAAGTTCAGAACGAAGAGCACCACCCATAAAATAACCAAATCGTTTTCCATATTCAGCTAGTTTATCAGCTGCAGCTACTACTTCACCATTGTCATTAATAACTTGCCATCTATGAAAAGGATGAATAATTTTTTGGATTTGATCTTTGAAACCAATATGTGCAAGCGACATTTGTCCATTAGGTTGAAGACCAAATGCTGCTCCGATTGTTGGAATAAAATAAGGCGCACGTTCATATAATGAGACGGACATTCCTATGTGTTTTAAAGCATTAGCAGCAGTCAAACCACCGATTCCGCCACCAATTATTGCCACTGAACGAGCCGTGGCCATACTTATATAGAATTATTTTGTATGTTTAATAGCTTATCTAACAAAGAGAAAGAGCAATATAAACGAAAATAGATTCAAACATCCAATTTTTAAATCATACATAACATATTTATAATTTCTTGGACAGTTTTTTCGATACACAACGATTCGTATGTAACGATTTTATATTGAATCCCATTAGAGACAAAATTTGAAGAAACATGAATTCTAATATCATAATGGCTTTAGTAGAGCTAAATTTCAGATATAATCATAGATGATGGAACGATATGATTCTACGTTAATCTCAAGATTTTTTATAAGATCCTCATCTGGATGTTAAAAACGAGAGAAGACGAGTTTTTGAATGCCATTTAGATGGGATACACTTAGTGTCTCTTTTATCAAACTCACATTTTGCAACTATGAACATCATCAGAATGAAGTTTCCAGAATGTCTTTCGATCAACTATGTTCGTGAGTTTCGTTTCGGCAATTATTCCTTACGTTCCCTTTTTCTGAATACTTATGATATACATTCATGTATATAGATACTGCAAGTATCATCTCACAATATCGTCGATAGGTTCGATCATTAGAATGAAGATGGCCGAATTTCGACGATATGATTTTCGGCGAAGATCATATTAACTGTGTAACAGTAGTGCAACTGAAAAAAAGTTTCGTAACTTACGAAAAAAAAACGTGCATTAAAAGAAAAATGCAAATGTTTCTGTTCATCAAAATGCAACTTTCGAAAAAAGAGGTTCTGATCTGATTTATCTGGAACAAGTTCAATGGCGAAGCAGAAATGTTTCAGAAAAAAAACTGTTGCATTATGAGCTCCTGCACTGCTGAAAATGTTTCTTAGGCATATAATCTCAGTCGCCGAAGGCAGTGGAAAATTTTGGAAGATTTTAGTTAATCTGGCTCAAGTTTTTTCGTACAAGTCTTCATTTGTAATGAAAGATCCTCACTTCTAGTCATTGCCGATGTATGATCCAATATTTATTTGTATAAAACTCATTGTTTTCTCAAGAATGTTTTCTAAATCGGCTGCAACGAAAAATATTGGCGTTTGCACAAAAAATATGATGCACTGCTCAAATTTGTCAATCTGATGGAATGAAAACAGTGGTTGAGCCGAAAATAGCCTACGAAGCTTCAATCTGGAGGAAGGCTTATGTTTAATCAAGACTTGTGGCGTCATCACTGATGCTTATTGGACACGAGGTGGTAGTAAATAGAATGTGCACTGCCCTTGTAATAATGCATTATCCATTAGAAGAAAATGAAAGTTAAGCAGCAATAGAAAATTTTTACATTAGATAAAACTTATTGAAACCTTTATCTATTCAACATAAGATGGACTCGAGACTACCCAGGCTTTGTGACTGAACCATCCATGGATACAATGTTGCTTGGAAGAGAGCAAGATTTGAGCGTTTTCCAATAAAATTTGTCCTGATTTTTTTTTAAATGATTAATTAATCAATCTAAATAAATCAATAAACAAGTCACTTAGAAAATATTCCATTAGTATCAATATCATATCACAAAAACTGTATAGAAGCATTTCTTAATTTAGCAAGTATTTTTTTATGGTAGCAAGTTAGCTTTTGCGTTGTTTGTTGATAACCGAATGAATCAACTGCTAGTAAATACGAATCGATGAAACTCAATCAGCTGTTGCATTGTAATGTTTTTCAAAAAATTTATAGCAAAATAATCTTCTTTTTTCATTAGAAATGCATTCATTATGATATTTTCATATTGATAAAAGAAAAAAATTCGAATAATTAAATTCAAAAGGACAAAATCATTGTACAATGTCCATTGATAGCCAATCAGAATTCGAATTTGTACAATCAATATACCGGTGTATTTGTGATGTTCCTTTCGAAAGTTATTCAAAAACAGTGTAGCACACTATATTTTGAAATGCATAGTAGCACCATTATGTGATGGAATTTTTACTTTAAGACCAGTCTCTTCGATTGATTGATTCCTAGAAAAATCAAATCATCAATTTTTATAGATTCAAGTGAAATGCAACAAACCCTTTTCTCAAAAGTGTATCACAATATCGATCTAGTAATTCGGATGATTTTGTTGTTGTTCCAGCTGCTTGTGTTACTGCATTATTATTTATAAGCTCACTACAAGCTTACATCATTTCAATAATAGATAGAAACTCAGATATAAAAACATGTACTTTATCTAAGACAACATTAAAACTTGCAGCAGTATCAAAAGAATCTTAAAAAAATTTTAAGAATTTCTTATCAATATTAATTATTGTTTCAACATACACTTTTGAACCCTAATATAAAAAAACAGAGAGAGAATAAAAAATGAGAAAAAAAAGAGTTAAGCATACATCAATTGCAATTTTACTGATACTTTCAATAGTATCTATACCAATTTTATAAATATAATTTTCGATCAACTGTACTAGTTAGTATTTAATTTTTGGAATTCGACTGATTAGTTGATATAGAGATCTTAAATCTATATTTAATACAAAGACATGGTTATTTATTATTAATTAGAAAAAGAAACACAATTGTCACTGTGACTATTCTCATTAGATACAATTGTTTTCGCTTCATCTATAATAGTATTTAGATTAAAACTAGGAATAAATATATCTTCTAGTTTATTGATTAATAATATTTGAACTGTAGATTTAGATTTCAGCAAGAAAGGTTTGGCAAAATTTATTTCTTGATCAAAATATTCTGATATCTATAATCAATAAAACAAATTCTAATGACAAATTTGATGATTAAATAAAAAGATTTACTTGAATGACACATTCAACAATTGAATCTGTTTCGAGAGATGGAACGCTTTGTTAGCGATAAAAATCTTCTGTCTCGAAGAAATTCATTCTCAAAATATTGTTTATACATATCAGTAATTGGTTCACTTCTCGAATCTTGATCCATTAATTTTTTTTTTTTCTTACTAAAATTACTATCCACTAAAGGAAAATTTTCAGACTAAAAAAAAACCATTGTTTATATACAATATAATTCAATAATATTTTTAATTAATTGAACATCAATAGATGATTTATTATTATGATGCTCTTGGATAAAATTTAAACATGCCTGCATTACACATGAAAATAGTGGTTTGAAGAAAGTTTCTCTTCAAATTTGTTTAGCGAGTTAAATATTGAAGAATTTGTCGTAAAGAAATAAAGAGTAAATGTAACATACGATATCAATGTCATAAATATCTTTTGTACCACAGATGTGTTCGAATCGAATTCAATGTCGATTGAAATCATGACAAGCACTATTTAAAAAATGACACGAAGATTCATAATTATGACAATGACTTTTATAAAATTGAAGCATATCTTCGTGTGTCATGTTATTGACACTCTGAAATAGAAAATTATAACAATATTTTCTAATTAAATTACCGTCATATTTTCATAGTTTTTATTTGTTATTTTTCTAGGGTGCGGGTGTGAGTTGTTCTTCTGTAGTCCATCGCATCCACACCCACACACCACACGCTACACCCACGCCCATGCCCACATCCACATTCATAACCTCACTGGAAATTTTATTTTCATAAAAATTATTTTAATAGATCAATAAATTTGAAGAATTAAACAATTAGTTATTGAAAAAAAGTAATTCTTAAAGAACATCAGTTCTTTATATTTGATCAAATATTTCGATTTGTTTGAAACTTTCCTTTCAAATTTCATTTGACCTCGATTTAATCTTTAGAAATAAAACTATTCGTTTATTATTTTTCACACTGAGATTTCCAATCGATTGGAGTTTATTCTTATGTATTTTAACGAGTATTTATTAAATAACAATTGTTCTTCTTCGGTATTATCAAACCTAAGAAAACCAAATGATTTTGTAGTCATTTTATTGATGATCGACAAAAAATAGAAATTCTTTTTCAGTTTTATCATTTTTGATGCTTTTTATTCAATTAGTTCAAATCTTTCTTCTTTAGTAAATGATGCCATTGATCTAATTTAGAAAAAATTCCTTTGTTTAAATGAAGATCAAATAAAAATTACAAGTTCGTTATTAGCTATGAAAATCATTTTTTAATTGATTTAATCAAATTTCAATTATAAGACGAAAAAAATATTCAAAATAAAAAAATAAATATTATAGAAAGAAATGAATTGTATAGAAGTAAAATTATTCTGAACAATAAGTAATACTTCTTTGAAAAACTATTTCATATCGATAAATTTTTCATATATAATGCACCACAATAAGGCGTCATGATCATTTATGAATTAGAAAGCGAGAATGTTATTTCACAGGTGTGTGTCATATATATATTTGTTTTCATTATTTGAGGTTAGTATCATCATTATTTATCATTTCAAATATGGAACGAATGAAACGACAGTTAGACGACAGTGTTTATGATGGTAATGACAATAAGAAACCAAAGATGGAAAATCAATGTGAAATTTTTTTGTCTATATTTAATAAATTATTATTTTTATTTTTATTTGATTTTAGTAATCTTAAACAAGTCAGTTATGTGAGATTTATTTAATTATCGAATTTTATTCAAGTTAGATCTCATTTGGAAAATGTAGCAAATGAAAGTATTTATGAAATATTTCAATATCTTGATGTTTACCATATTTATGAAGGGTTTTTTTTTATCTTAATCAACGATATAAAAATTTAGTTATTAATAGAAATCTTTTAATTCAAATAAATATTACAACAATGTCAAAATTAAATTTTGATCTTTATCATAAAAATATGATTAAACCAAATAAATATTGAATTAATTATCTTCGTTTATCAAATCCATTTACTGTTGATATGATTTTCTCACCATCACGCCTTATTTGGGATTATATTCAACTTAAAACATTAATTTTTGATAATATTGATACAAAATATCTTAATAATATTCTCAAACATTTAGCTCATTTACCAAAACTACATTCATTAGTTTATAGTCTTATTGATTAGGGTGGGTGTAGTTTAAGGCAATGCCCACACTCACCCATACTCAAGATTTATCATAATGTTGCGATATTATACTTCGAGGCACAAGAGTACAGTACGGCAATGACGAATGTTCAACAAGCTGCAGAAATCATTGGAAAAAACTCTGCCTTTCAATCATCCAAATCTTTTGCATTATAAAGAAACATTTGAAAAATCTCAAAATAAGATCTAGATTTTGTTTTTTTTCGTTTATTGACTAAAGGGTGGCTGTGCAGAAACGCTGCTGTAGTCTATTTTGTCCTCGCTGACGAGACTCATGAGGTATCTTAAGAATTCTATTATCATACTAATCGAAATTCTGTGAATAAATGGAGATATAAAGAGATTCGCAATAATCCGCAGATTCTATTACAAGACTATTATCGAACAAATTTTACAACGAAAGCGTCACTAGACGTCGTTCAAAGTTTTGTTTTTTGAGTTAAGAATGTTTTGAATAGATTTTTTTATGATTTTTTTGTTATTGCTTCTGAATTGGAGATTGATTAATAAGCACATATATTAATATGCTCAAAGGATGACGCTGTCTTCCATAGAGAATGTATTTGAATTCGACACTACTTGCGACGCATTCTGAACTTTCTCAAGGTTTAATCGTCAGCTATATTCTGAATCCAGATCAACTGTATATCGGCTAGGACAAAAAAGAATCAAACAGAATAATTAGAAGTCGAGATAGGATGAGCCTTTCTAATAAAATTGACTTGAAGCTTCATGAGATGCATTTCGATGGTTACTGAGGCAGTCATCATCACGGGTCAAACAAGTATGCTTGCAAACGATCATAATAGCAGGACAAATTCGGCTGTTTACAGTCTTCTTATACAGAGCGTTATCACTATTTTACGCTATCACCACAAAACTGAACTGTGAGAAAACGCACACAAGTCCCTTTAACAGCGTCAAAACCTGTACGAGTTATTGATAAAAAACACTCCTTTGTTCAGCTCATAGCAAAAATAAACCGTCAAGAACAACCGAAAACTGATTCCCTTCAAGATTAACACCCAGAATCGCTCTTTTGATCTATTAAAATACTCTGGGTTGTTCGCACTAACAATTACAACCTTCCATGGGTGAAATCGTGTGTAAACAATCAAAGTGACTTCTTTGAACAGTCGATTCACTTGATTTCTGAATAACGTTTTGAAATCTCAGTATTTTTCGATAAGTCCAAGCATATAGAAGAAGTTTTGTATGACTTTAGAAGAGTTGTACATTTCGTTTACTAAAAACAAGTTTTATGAGATCTTCATAGAGCAATACTCTCGAAGGCTTCACCAACATAATAATGATGATAGAAATAGCAAGTCCCATATAATACTTATTTCGAACTCAGAACAATTATATTCGACAGTGACCAAGCACTGTCTTTGAAAGAAAGAAATTAGTTTCAATGTCGTGAGTAAATAATTTATTTCAATAGAAAGCCTCATCGATGTATGATTATTTTTAATGATGATCACCTTACTAAAAAAATATCAGAAAAAATCCGAATTAAAATGTCTTTCCATCTTAGATTCGTTTAAGCAGGATAGATTGTAAAATCGGGAGTTTTAATAATGCCAGTATTCTTCTTATCATGCGATTCAGCGGTAAGCGTATTCATCTTCTCCTGTGATTTAACCCAAGCTTTGGCAATGGCTCGTTTCGTATCATCGTCACCATTTTCGTACATTTCCTCCACCATATTCAAGAATGACTCACTCGATTCCTTTGTCTGATCAAGTTTCGGGATTGGCCTACATTAGAACATAAGGAAGACTGTAAGATCAAAAAGATTTCACTTACTTCATAGGCGTTTTTTTCTCGTCCTTTAAAAAGCATTCCCAATTTTTCGGCTCGACTTTTCGTAAAGATAAAATGATCATATCTTTTTTGGCCTAGATGTACGAGAAGTTTATAAAAAACACAAGATATTTCGATATGAGAAACAGACTTTGAAGGTCGATTGATCCGGTTGAATGTCATGCAGAAGACCGACTTTCTTCAAAGAGTAGTTGAAACTTTTTAGATTTTGAATTTGCAGATGAAAGCCACTAGAATAGTACAATTTCAAGTCATTGAAATCCAAGAAAGGCTTTACCATGAATTCTTACCGTGTTTCGAAGGAGCACTGGATGTGGTCCTCGGGTAAGCTGCCGACACCGTCGAGATTTTGAACGTAGACCTTGATAAATTTATCACTTTGATCCCACGCTGTAATCAATAGTAGAAAACAGACAGAAATCTTTGTTGTACTATTGCCCTACCATAGACTGATATATCTTTTGTGTAGGATCGGGTAGCTGTTGATTGGGCACTGGCACTAACTGATTTTTCTTCTGCTTGAGCAGCAACCTGTTGTTGTTCTTGTTGTTGTTGCTGCTGCTTCTGAAGCTTTTCCTGAAGTTGGACTAATTCCTTTTCGAATTTGCGTTGTTGAAGCTCCAGATTTTCCTTTATGCGAGGACGAGTAGTATAGTCGATCACTCGTTTGAGTTCGTGGATATCAGCAGTGATCTACAACAGACGAAACGTTCATGCATAAATTTTAGTCGTTGTTCAGACACAACATCTGGAAATATTTTTTTGTCATGAATTTCAAACTATCCTCTTCGATTTTTCGAGGAAGTCATCTTGTTTCGATAGAAGTTCTTTTGTAAAAACAGATTAACCACTACTTGTCTCTTACCTCTTGTATTTGCTCTTCGAGTGTCATTGTTGTCTATGGATCGACGGAGATAGGACACACAAAATCTAAAATTTAGTATGTTGAGTGTGAATGCGAGTGTTTGTCCATTTCTATTTGTATTTACACATGTAAGTATAAAAACAACTGCACCCACACCCTAATAAAGAATACTTTTTAACATTACTTCGTATAGTACTAAAAACTACTACTTAGTTATCAATAATCTAATAATTTCTTAAAAAGGTTTATATACAAGTATCTTTTCTGCTTCTAGAAATAATATAAAAAAAATACTTAATTTAACGTGTTTGGGTCTAAAATTCTACATCGATTCTTCCAGTGTTTATTAGAACTAGTTTTGTTTTCTTTCTGAATCTCAATATTTGCCATGTGATATCAAGTTGCCAACTCTTATTTCATTGAAAATTGCTCTGTTGCCTGAAAGTGTCCGAGATTACTTCTATGTATTGCATCAAGATCCTAAAATTTTCTTGCCTGTCATGAGAAATCCGTACAAAGATCGAAATTTCACAGTAACATCGAAATAAGACTGTGTGATCCTGCAATGACCAACTGGATTCATTAGCTTACCGATCTCCTCAATAATGGCGTTTATAATACTATCTCATATACCCACAATGTTCTTACCTTTCATATAACATACAGTTAGATATGAGACAGAACAGAGGAGCGAAGAAAGAATGACCAATAAGAAGTGACATTAATATCAGCACAGTCCTGAAGTTTTTTGATCTGATTTTTGCGCATGGTTCGTGTCTCTAAGTGATCAGTTCTTCATTGATCTGCATCTTTTTTTCTTTATTGTGAGATATTAGTCTCTCATCGCCCAATTCTGACCTTCATCGGTGCACATTGGTGTGCGTTTGAGAGCTCTTCTACTTTTACCCGAGTACGCACATGACTCTTGTCTATTTAAGAGTCAGCTTTGATGAATATAGCAGCATGAAAAAGTACTATAGAATTCCCATAAATAATTGTCCTCCTAGTATTTTTGAGATATCTCCTATATAATGCCTTTGATAAAAACATTCTTTTCTATCAAGAGATAGTGCTTGAAATTCTCTACAAAACCATATATGACTAGACCCTGGAAGCTGTTTAAGATATATTTGAAAAAAGATGAAAAATAAAGACATACAAAAAGCTGTAAAAAGTAACTGGTTGTACATAATGAACGGCCGCGCTTTGCATCCCATTTTTTCATCATTTACTTCGTCCTATTATAAAAACAAAATATATCAAAAGATGTAGCGTGAAAAG